GTGCACAATGTCACAACCCCACCTCGGATCACGTAGGGTGAGCAGTGGACCGACCACTAAGGGCTTAACCAATTAATCCTGTGCATAATAAATACAAAATACAGCGGAAGACAAATAATAAAGTGATTCATTTCACCGATCTAATGAATACCAGAAGAATAAACTAAATATCACCAACATCATTATTAAACTCATGTAAAACAATAACTAAACCATAAAGTTCACTACTCTAAAGTCTAAACATGAGCAACATTAATCCCAAAAATAATTAAATATTTGTCTCAAAATCATAAAAGACATTTATTCCTGAAGACCTACAATGAAATAAATCTTCAATCATTTTAATCCTTTATCAATTCGAGGACTTACTCCTCCCCCTGATCCTCACTTGAAAATTGTTAAATATTTGGGTGAGCACAAAAATCAGTGAATAGCAACCACCTCTAATGAGGTGTAAAAATAAATTTCACATTTTATATGCAAAAATAAACTTTGTTATATACATAAGTACAACAAATTGTACTTTAATCCCTTCCACATAATCATGTAAACAAAATGATCTCCTGATCATAAATAATTTTATAAAAATAAAGACATTTATAACTCAAACACCCATTCATTTTTACAAATAACTTTATAAATGAAAGACATTTATAATTCAAAACACTCACTCACACACACACATTCAATTTCAAATACACTTCCACATCGTACATTTCTTTTTAAGACATATGATTTTACCGGTAAAGCTTCCAAGAGTGACATGAGACTGAAACTGGATTTGAGTATTTTTTTTTGCCCGTGTCTAAACTTGATTATATAAATATGTTGAATAAATAGTTTTAGTTTTGGGTTTGAGATACTTATCGATTTCTGGTTTAGGCCTTGAGTTAATTCTATGGTTGTTGATTCAATTTTTTCTGATATATTGATGCAGATACTGTTCCATATATGACATTGGAGAAATTTTGATTCTTGACTCGAGATTTCGTTTGTGGTTGCTATATTTCGCTGAACAATATTTCAGATTTGTTCAATAGTTTAACAGTCCAGGTTTGTTTAATATTCATGACTTTTACTATTGTTTCATCTACTATCACTATAGAATTATTTATGTTATTGATTTGTTTACTATCAAATTTATCTACTATCTCTAAAATATGTTTTTAATAGTTCAATGTCCAATCTCAATGCTTTTTCTATATGTGGACATAATAAATTAGGAGTATATTTGCGCATTTGTATCTGCTTTAGTTAGGCTGGATGACTTGACTTAAAAATTAGAATATCATTGTTACAAATTCTTGCAGGATTCTTCAAATATAGTTGGAATCCACAATGTGCTCTACTCGATCTTTAATGTTATGATAGTTGTTCATCTTTTATCNTACTTTAATCCCTTCCACATAATCATGTAAACAAAATGATCTCCTGATCATAAATAATTTTATAAAAATAAAGACATTTATAACTCAAACACCCATTCATTTTTACAAATAACTTTATAAATGAAAGACATTTATAATTCAAAACACTCACTCACACACACACATTCAATTTCAAATACACTTCCACATCGTACATTTCTTTTTAAGACATATGATTTTACCGGTAAAGCTTCCAAGAGTGACATGAGACTGAAACTGGATTTGAGTATTTTTTTTTGCCCGTGTCTAAACTTGATTATATAAATATGTTGAATAAATAGTTTTAGTTTTGGGTTTGAGATACTTATCGATTTCTGGTTTAGGCCTTGAGTTAATTCTATGGTTGTTGATTCAATTTTTTCTGATATATTGATGCAGATACTGTTCCATATATGACATTGGAGAAATTTTGATTCTTGACTCGAGATTTCGTTTGTGGTTGCTATATTTCGCTGAACAATATTTCAGATTTGTTCAATAGTTTAACAGTCCAGGTTTGTTTAATATTCATGACTTTTACTATTGTTTCATCTACTATCACTATAGAATTATTTATGTTATTGATTTGTTTACTATCAAATTTATCTACTATCTCTAAAATATGTTTTTAATAGTTCAATGTCCAATCTCAATGCTTTTTCTATATGTGGACATAATAAATTAGGAGTATATTTGCGCATTTGTATCTGCTTTAGTTAGGCTGGATGACTTGACTTAAAAATTAGAATATCATTGTTACAAATTCTTGCAGGATTCTTCAAATATAGTTGGAATCCACAATGTGCTCTACTCGATCTTTAATGTTATGATAGTTGTTCATCTTTTATCTTTTTTACTTCTTCAGACGGCTGCAACCAACAATTTAGTTCATAAATAATTTAAACATTGTTTAGTTCATAAATATTTTAAACATTACAATATTATTTAGTTTACCAATAATTTAAATCAAAATCTCTATAATAAACCAAATTAAAACCAAAAACTATAACAAACCACAAATGAGTTGTATCTATTTTAAAACTAAACATTGTAGCAAAAAAACAAAGGTAACTTGCATATTTTTGTGCCAAAAAACGTGAAAACTATTATTCCTTGCGACATTTTTGAATGCAATTGTAACTATGTATATAGATTGAAATTCTTATGATCTCATGTTGTTGCTTTAGAAAGTTTTTGTTAAATTTTTACAAATAATGCAGTACCTTCAGGCNGAAGTCTCTTTGGTGTTTAAAGTTTGAATTAGTGAACTATGGTTGTGAACTTTGCATTATAATAGTAGTGGATTATGTTGATAACTTGAATAGTTGGTGGAGTATTAATGAAATGCTATATTTTTTATGAGTGTATGACTTTTTTTCAAAAGTATATATATTTTTTTATTATTTATTTAAAATTGCATCGTATCTTACGATACACGATACGATACAATATTTGTATCTTACGATACGCCTTCCGATACACGATTTGATAACTTTGTTAAAAAGTAATAAAGCACGCACCAATGTGCTTGGTACATCCATAAAAGAAATCACCACTTTTTTTTTAGCTGAAATTAGTTGCAGTCAACCCATTCTTCTTGGCAACACCGTCTTCTTCTTCGGTGCCGTTTGATAGGTCCTCTTATAGCAGTTACTGAATTGCAGTCCACTTGGTTTCCTGCATTTCGTCTTCTTTTCCAGCGCCGTTTGATGCGGAAAAGAAAATTGGAGTCCGTTTAGTTTCAACTTGAACACGCAATGATTTGATAAGTTTCAGTTACTTATGGCAAAGGTTTTGAGAATTAAATTTCAAAATTCAAACAGTTTCTAAATCACAGTAGTTCGAAAAATATATTATAACAACTTTACATATCTGAAAATAAGATAATGTAATGGTAATTAAGTAATACAAAACGTATGAAAAACTAAATTGTGTATCTGCTGACCGAATTTTTGGGGTGTAGAAGACTTAATGGCTTAAAGGTCTGAACTGATGGGACTCTTCTGAAAAGCCCTAAGANTGTCCTCGGTGTCAGAAGATCGAAGGCTGGGGGGCAGTTGATGGGACTCTTCTGAAAAGCCCTAAGATGATGACACGTGTCCTCGGGATATTTTGGAACAATGTGCCCGGATGTAAGCACCATCGGCGAAGAGCGCCCTTTACCCCGAGGTACCTCTCATGTAGGATCACACATTCGGTATATTATACAACAAACGTGTCCTCGGTCAGACGTGTACCTCGGGGACACACCACCCCTTGGTCCCGAGGTGAACCTTTCCTCGGCGCCGAGGGTCACTCCATCCTGGACGCCTCCTCTGCTCCCGGATAAAGCTACTGACATACTGGACATCAGCCTATGCCAGTATGGGTTATTCATCATGACCTCTTCTTACACAAGTAATGTCAGAACGTGCTGGAATACCGACGTAACGGCCAATAAGGGATGGACGCGTGGCAAATAATGTCACATCCGAAGCAGACAAACCGCGTGCCGTCGCTGACACGCGACTTGGGAAAACAAACAATTAATTGCACCCTTCTGTTGACGAGACCGCATTCAATGCGGTAAGGTTCGGATATGAAAGGCAATAAATGCTCCTATTACAGAGCATTTATTGCATCCTTCCCGA